AGGGGGTTGGAAGCTATATAGATGACCTGATAGTTTATTCAAGCTGCTGGGATGAGTATATTCAAGTATTATCTGAGTTGTTACGAAGACTAAGGGCAGCGGACATAACAGCTAGACCATCCAAGTGTGTTCTGGGTGCAACCATCAGTAGAATTCCTGGGTCATGAAATTGGACACAATTGGGTGAGTCCGAGTCACGACAACAATGGAAAAAATTCGAGAAGCGCAAAGACCAGCTACCAAGAAAGGTGTCCGATCATTCTTTGGGCTGGTCAATTACAACAGAGACCACATCCCCTTATTCGCAACTATTGCAGCACCCCTGAGTGATCTACTAAGGAAAGGACAACCCAACAAAGTTGTATGGGGAGAGGCGTCTCAGGTAGGAATTGGAGCAGTACTTATGCAGAATCATGGTGAGAAGCTTCATCCAGTTGCGTATGCAAGTAAGAAGTTATTCGATGCAGAAAAGGAATATTCAACTGTAGAAAGAGAATGTTTAGCCATTGTATGGGGCGTGAATAAATTTCGCCTATATTTAGCCGGTGTGGAATTCATTTTGCAGACGGATCATAAACCATTGTCTTACCTGGATAAAGCCAAGTTTGCAAATGACCGAGTGATGAGATGAGATAATTATCGTGTTGAGGATATTCCTGGACGGGACAATGTGGTAGCGGACTACCTGAGTAGATTGATGGACTGAGGAACTTTTGAACAGTATAGTAGAATGTTATTTGCTTATGACTGTATTTCATATTTGATTATATTCTACTGTATGTGATTTCCGAATTTATGTACTCAGAGCTTTATTCAGTTCGATTTGATATATTGTATTGTTGTTTTATTTGAAATTGTTATCGTATTCGTATTATTGACGTCGTTGCTAGTCATGTAATATTATATGTTATAATATTCTTGCAAGAAATTCTTTCTCAGTTTGAGATACTTTTTCTTTAAATAAGAATAATTGCCATAACCTTTTCTAGCAACATCTTGTTTGGTATTAAGTGGACAAGTAATGAGAATAATTTCCTCAATTCAAGAAAACCTTTCCTAAGACAAGTTTTATAAGAAATAATTGCGCATTTGTTTTGCTGATAAGATAAAATATCTAGCATTAAGAAAATCAAAATCTTGATGTTCTCCAAACTTTATTTTTTAAAAGTTCAAAACTGTGAAGAGTTTTTAACTTTCTAAAATTAAGATATGGGAAACATAAAGATTTTGATTTTCTTAATGCTAGATATTTTAAGTTGTCAGCAAAAACAAATAGAAAACACACTTTAATATAAAACATACTGACAAAAAAGCGATATTTTTTACACATGTGATTTTAATTATCATAAACTGCTTCTGTACAGTGTTTTCAATTCATCAATGAAAAAAATAATGTTGAAATTAATTATATACAATTCTGGGAATTCACAATTGTGAAAAGTGTGGCAACTGAATTATGTATTAATATTTTACAATCGAACAGGATATCTAATATTTATTTTAAGACCAAAATACCCCACATTTGTTTTTATTCCTTTGTATGGGACATTTTGATAAGTCATAATACTAGTATTCTAATGTTTATTTCTTTACATTTTGTGACAATAATTTTTATTTTTTTTTCAAATAGAAAATTATTTAACTCTGCAATATATACAATTTGTTCAATAACAATGTGTTTTAAGTATTAATTTCTTTTGTTTATTTGAAAGTCCTAGTAAATAGTTTAATTTGGCTTGTGCACCAAATTCCCATATTTTGAGATAATATTAACAAACCTGACAGAGGACCACCTCAAATATCATAGGTTTCCGATTAGTTGCCAAAAATACTTTTTCCCAAAAATTACTAAAAATATTCAAAAAAAATTATAATTTGCATATTTCTGCAAAATAAAATTTTTTACCAAAAATATTTCATGCTTGCAAAAAATTTGGATAACCATCATTTGCCAACTCTATTACAGACATCAGATCGTAGTTCAGTAGTATAAACATTTCATTCTTGAAATTCACTAGGCAATAACAACTGAAGTCCAGACATTCTGACGGCTTTCTAACAACAAATCCTTCCGGTAATACAGGTTCTTCAATAACATATGCTTGAAGCAACTCCTCAAAATGATTTGTTTCATACATCTTCAAAGCAAAAAAAACCTCTTGCTCCCCTTCATCAGTTCCCCCAATAAATATATTTTTTAAAAGACCAAAGGTTGGCAAATCATTTTCTATTTCAACTGCAATCATGCACTCATCTGGTATGTACTTTGTTCCATTTAGTGTAATATGCTTGGTACTATGAATGGTTTTCAAGACTATGTCTTGGTAAAACTCCTTAATTTTCCTACTTGTATCCTGAAAGTTAATGACAAGCATTTGGCATGGCCCAGTTATTTGTTCAGTAGAAAACAAAGGATGAGTGGATGGGTCATCATCAATATAGGACAAGCATTCAGCCTTCAAATAACGTTCAGCAATAGATTTAGGCAGATTTGAAAAGTTTTGCTTCTGAGATAGCCTTTTAAAAAGCTTGTGCTTGGCTTCGTATCTCATGCACGAGTATCTTATAGGTGGTCCATACTTTCTTATTGTCTCTGGAAAATGAATCATGAAATGTTGTTTTGGTAAAACAGAAAGCTCTGGAAACAGCTGTACAAATGTCTCTAAATGGTTCTTGATTACTAAACTCAAAAATACAAGTGAACCATTCGATATAACTGGCGACTGTAAAATATTTATAATACAGAGTAGTTCAATAACAAATAAATATAGCGAGTTATCCTCAGGTAGTATTGTACTTGCAAGGAAAAATGGCAAGATTTTCATAAAAACATGCATTTGACTAGCAGACTGTCTGAGTCTATTGTCATCCGAGTCCAGAGTTTTCTGAAGAATCTCAGAAGGTTTGTTTTTTACATCGAAGTACGGAAGGTGGAAGTTTCTCAGGTAAGAGTTCAACTGACTTAGGCTGAATAATTTCTGCTCAAGTATATATTCTTTAAGTACTTCCTTTAGCTCATATTGAGCTACACCCTCAGTAACAACATGCATTATATCTTGTGGAAGCATTGTACACACATCAAAACCTGGTGCATCCACTAAAATACTACGTCTATTAATGCCATACATAGTGCGCAAATAATTTCTTAGGTAATCTGTATTGGCTCTTTCTATTTCAGCAAGGTGATCTAAATGAGTGTCAAGATTTCTTTTCTGAAAGTGAGCTACTGAAAAGTTGCCCAGATTGTCCGAAGTACAAGTACAATACCGACATTTAGAAAATGATGCACCAACGCTTTCTTTGAAACCACCAAGCGCATGACTTGCGGGTGTGTCACCAAGTGCTCCAAACAACATGCCTTTTAAATGTATTATTTCATTATCAGCCAACTTAAAATCACACCCCTGAATAAAAAGTCGTAATTCATGAATAAAAGGCTCTAGGATTGCATCAAGTCCATATTTTTTTATGTTCTCACTGTATGCTATGGCCAAAAGTTGTACAGTTTCAAGTTTGGATCTAAATTTCGTGTCTATTTTTGCAATGGTATAATAGAACATTCCTAATTTATGTATACCTGAACGTGATCCTAGAGGATTGCATATGTCAATTTCATCATAGTATAAAATAATGGGAATATCATCATCACATAAAAGGTTATGAGTTTGGTATATTTCCCCATCTAACATATCAAAGTAATACCCATCTGGTGCAGTTTTGGGTGGATTAGTTACAAGGGTTCGAATGCGTACATTAGAAATCAGTTGTCTTATAGATTCCAAGAGCGGCACATACACAAAAGTATCATCACGAGATGTTACATGGTATTTCCTGCCCTTACGCTTGCTCACAATTGTTTCTCCCAACTTAACTTCACATAGTCTTACAGATAAAAAGTTCCTTTTAATATACTGATCTTGTTTGTAATGTGAATCAATTTTGGAAAAAGTATCAGAAACTTCTTTTTCGCTGTCCATGAGAATATTTTGCAATGTTAATTAGCTGTTCCCTTCTAGCTGTAGAGCTGCCCTTTGCAAAATCTCCATCTTTATTTTTTCAACTGTTGACTGAATCAAAGTCTTGGTGTTTTCAACAATGTCAGATGTAGTAGCCTGAAACAAAATACAATAATTGACTGTAATATAGGTGAACAATAAGTTGAATGTAAACTGAAAGTTTTCCCGTTTTAAAAGACTGGACTTATTTCTAAAGCACAGATGAGTGTTTATTACCTGAGTTAAGCAGTTTCTTTCCTTTAAACCACATATAAATTGGGCGGCACATGTTTCCAAATTTATTTTGTTATCTTGTGGCTGAACCTGTCAAGTATGAAATATATTATGTAGTTTTCATGTAAACATGATGTACAGAAGTTACCATACAATAAATGATTTATCCATCCCACTTAAGAAATGTAACCCTTTTCATCCTTTCCAAAGGATGTGTGTTCACAATAAATATATAGTAAAACTTTGGGCTGAAAAATCGCAATCTGCCAACATTTTAGGCTGCTTAACAGTGTTTTACATCTTTGATTGAAATTCCTAGAAGTTAAACTTAATTTATAACGCAGTTTATTTTTATCAGCAAATTGTGTATTTTGTACAAAGCAATGTGGTATTAACAATCACTAAAACATACCTGAGTCTGAGGTGCACTACAGTCGTCATCGTTTGTAATTGCTTCATTGTCACTGATGTCATTCTCACTCAGAACTGCGTCTTCGACATATTGTGTCACTGGGGGGTTTGTATCATGTGGGATTTGTTCTGGTGGGGTATTCTCCGTGTAGCGATCACGGTGTATTGACACAATGTGTTTATAAAAAGAATGGTATTTCCGGTAGCTTCTCGGGCATCCATCAACTCCACAATTTATCATGAAGTGTGGAGTACTAGCATGTGACACGTTAATGTGGTTTAGAAGCTCTCTTAACGTAAGACAGAGAAACACAATACAAATCCCACATCTCCAGGGTCCCGCCATTTTAAAAAAGATGTTATATCATATCTCGCCAGATTATATGGTACGGGCGAATTTTGGTTATGTTCGATGAAAAGAGCGTTTAGCTTTGATTTTTCATTTCTCGAAATTAATAATAATAAAAAAGAAATCATAGTTCGTATTATAGAGTATTTTTAACGTCCGAATGGCGTGAGGCCTGCGTTTGTCGAGTTCAAATTCACGCATAATGCGAGATGTCGGAGTGAGCCACTTGGCTTCACACGCGTGCTGCAGACTACAATATACACGAGGCGGCAATTTCAAGAATGGCGAACGAAATGCTTGCGATGTCATCGGACGAACTTCATGCATTTTTGAGCGATGAAATTGGGGATGAGGCAGCAGAAAGAGTTAAAGGTAATTATTCTGACGCCAATTTTTAATTATTATCCAGAATAAGTTTAAAACCAGAGTTTATCTAAAATGTGTACTTGAAAATGAAATCACAGTCACTTGGGGGCTGAAAATCAATAAATACTAATTTTCAAAAAAAAATCATCCGCTATACGTATATAAATAAACAAGTTGTGAAACACGGCACAGAGTAAATCGACACCCTGTCGGTTTCAAATGTCGATTTCTTACCTTAAAATGCGAAACAAAAAGTGCAGAGGGGGTCAGGTGTTATGTTAATAACCATTA